AGAACCAAGATACTCATGTAAAGGTACAAGATCCCAATGATGAATGTAACTGTATTGTATACCTAAAATGTACCATAAACTTAATGGGGAAAAAATACCAGATTTTAAGTACTTACCTCCTTAGGCCATTTTACCCCTTAAAGGAAAACCCAGGCAAATGTGGAGTAGAACAGAGTGCTGCCCCCTACCGGCAGAGAAGGGAAGACAGGGATGACTGACACATGACCAGATCCTCCCGATCACTCTGAGAATAAGAAATAAAGCAAGCAGGGTTTTAAAAAGTCCCTCTCAATGAAACTAAGAAGTGTGAAAAAAAAGTTCCCTGCTAATACTTTACTTGTCAAATAAAAGGAGTTTTCTGGGAAATAAATGATTCATTAATCAAGCTAGAGAAAACATGATGGGAACCTTTAGATGAAAAGAAAAAGTCTTATAAGTGATGCACACACATATACACTCCCTAGTGCATTCTCTGTACACTATATAAATTGCATTGATCATGATTATGTTTTTCTCCAGTGGCGAAGTGGACGTTTGTCCAAATCACAGAACTAAGCAAGAACAAAGTTATTTGCGGGTATCAGATAAAGTGGGAAGAAGAAAGGGGATGCCTTGAGCCCCCAGTACTTGAAATCATTTCTTTATTTAGGAATTTGATTGCTAACTTGCTGTGAGAATCCCCATGCACAGTGAAAACCATATGGACCCAGGGACTCTGCTCAACACTGAATCTCAGTGCCTAGAAACCAAGTCTGATAGATACATGTGCTCAGCGGTTATTTGTTCACTAAACAAATAATAAGGCAACAGTCAGGCATCAGGTTCCCACTGTACTTACAAACCCCATGTGCCATCAAGAAATCCTTGACACAACAGTTGTTTATTTCCATCAGTCACTAAATCTTGTCAGTGTGTTTTATTGGCCAAAGTGCATTGATATCACTATTATCTTATATACCATCTGCACCTGGGAAATATGCAACACAGACCTTTCCTTCTTATTTTCTAAAATTGGGGTAGGAGAGGAGAAGGGAAGAGTGTTTATGAGTCCTCACTGCCACATCACTCTCAGGAATCAAACCCTACATTAGAATCATGATGCTCTTCCTGAAGTATTTTTTCCAACCCATCCTTTGAAACAGAATGCTAACAACTAAATCTTAACATATTTGGAAAGCAGTAGATATTCATTTGTTGCTCATGTGATGATAATGGAGACATTCAACAAAGGGTCCAATTCCTACTACTTAAACTTATCTGTCAGGTCACCTTTAGAGCTAACTAGTTCGCGTATCTTTTTCTTATGTTTCAGTCCCTAATAAAGTGTGAGCCAACAAAAGAAGAAAATTAATTTTTTTTAAACTGCAAAGCAAAAGCATGGTCAATCTCTTTAAAATGCTACAATGTCAAATGATTTACTTACAAAACAATGCTGACATTTTAAAAACAGATAAAATTCAATAAGCTTATTTCATTATAGTATTTCTTAAGATCTCCTGAGATACTCGTATTTCAAATGTCAAACACATTGGCAAATTCCCCCAAAGCAGAAGTAAATGCTCCTTTAACCCACTGAACATCACAGTTGCACATTTATCTTACTTCTGAATAAATATCAACATTGTTTATTCTTGCAGTTTAACTCAAATTTATGATGAAGTCAATAGTCTAATATACTCACAGCATCTTTGCACATAGAAAATTATGCATGCTCTGCAGACATAAATAAGCCCAGTAAGAATGACAAGTGTAGGAGGAATGAGCTACACAGCTTCATTGGAGTTGATTTAGGAACAAGCTGGGTTTTTTTCTAAATGATAATTCTTAATCTTTGTAAAATGGGTAGAAAAACATGAGATGTCAGCAAATATCCCTGCCTTTTTTGCGTGCCACTGTTAACATTCCCTGCCACTGTTCTTTGTAGAACCATGCCTGTCCTGATACCTATCACGGCCTTGTTTTGTCCGGTAGCCACCTTCTCCTACTCTACAAGAACAGACTCAGCATCCTTGCCACTCTCCAGAAAAGATTCTCCCATGATTCCTAGCTCCCAAGGCAAGCAAGGAGCCTTGCTCACATCTCCTTAGCTGACAGAACAGTGTCTATCACGGTTCCACTGCTGCCTCTCATATCTTTTGCCCCATTTACATTGCACTCACCTCATTTTCTTTAGTTCATTTACCTAAGACCTTAACTTTCAGGGTAGATAAAGGCCAAGGCAGGATGTGATGGTTGATTCTAAAAGATAAATATTCCTTTGGGAAGATCACCTGCAAAAACAGACAAGTTGGAGAAACCTATGAAAACATTTTATTTTCCATGTTAAATTTAGGGTGTAAACAAATTGGGTCTTCTAACCATCGAATCTAAGAAAAGACACAGACCTGTAGACACAGACATTTAGAACCTGTAGGTATATAATAAATGTCATTATATTATATCAAAATTTTTACAATGACCTCTGTTTAGGCAGTGGAGTTAAAGAATTAGAAATAGTAGCCAGACTTTTATCATTCATATCTTTATTTTTTTCTGTAAATATCATATATTGAAAAAGAATAAACTCTATTTGGAAGTGTAGTATTAGTAATTCATGATCCTTAAGAAGACAGATATTATTAAGGAAACATAAAAGTCTTTCACTCTCTTGATAGTAGTAAAATTTGTTCTCTGTGAGACAAATATTGACTTATAGTAGAACCAGAGAGATGGCTCAGGTTTCTCTATAACTTGAAATGAAAATGATCACAGAGAAATTAGCAGATTATGTAAGTATATTCACAATCTGTTAAAGATTTGTTTTTTTCCTTATGTTCTGGTCTCTTTGTAAGCAACATTTTGTGGCAAAGGATCTAATTTTCCACTTCCTGCTATGTCATACGGTAAAAATTTAACTAATGATACAAATAAGCAACATCTGTTTAAGAGAACATTACACATAAAGCAACATTATCATATGTACACTGGCTGCACTAAGGAAATATGAGATTTTATTGGCTTTAATGAATGTTCTAATTTGGTTAAACTTCAAATATCCATTTACATACATAACTAAAACAAGTAATATATTTATTATATTCTAGTGATTGTTTTCATTACCCATTTTTTATTACTCATTTCAAATATTAAGTAATTCACAGTTAGTGCTGACATTTTAATCCAAATTGAATTTTAACCCTAAAAACGTAATGATTAGGATGAAGTTTAAACTTGACTACCTTTGGAATTGGTGGAGCACACTTCTAGGTATGAGTGAGTCATGTATATGTGGCCTTGGTGGGGGGAGGTCTGAGTCTGGATCCTTGTCCCTTCTTCTCTGGCACTGTTCCCCTGTTCTGCTTACTGATCACCCCCAGACTGAGGAGTTTTGCTTTGCTGTGGGCATTTATTTCACCGTGATATTTCTGCATTGGATCCTTCTGGCTATGTCCTGAATCCTCCTGAAACAGTGAGCTAAATTAAACCTTTCTTCCTTTAAATTGTGGGTGTCAAATGTGTCTCAGTGATTGGAAAGCTGACTGACACAAAACATAAATGACTTGTTTACTGTAATGATTTGTATTTACAAATCATGTGTTTTTCTTTATTCTAATTTCCATTCTCTACATTTTTTGTATAAAGATTATTTGCTGCTTTTTAAAATGAAAAGAATCATAATGATCAAAGCATTTGTATGTATGTATTAGAGCACTGACTGATTCATATTTAGGTCTTATCAGCTGATTTATACACATATTAAGAGATAATTTTTTTGTTTGCTCCTAAATAAACAATAGATGTACTTTTTATAATCATTATGTACATTAATAAGATATCCCATAATCCATGAATTATGAGAGGAAAAAGACATTTCTAATTAAAATATGAACCCATTGGGAAGACTGAACAAGGCAAGACATTGTGAAAATGATTTTAGGGATAAGACCATTCTTAAAATTTAGAGGAAAAAATCATAAGAAAGCAAAAACCACTCTTCTAAATTTAGTTTGTAAAAATATATAGGTAATTGGCCCTGCCATGCCCTGCCCTGCCCTTCTTTCTTTATAATCACTACAAGTGTAGTTCTATTTGATAGCCCTTTCATTATTCTTTTGCTTAACTTTAGAGATTCCAGTCCTTCACTTATTTGGGAAAAAATTGAAGAGCCATCCATACATGGCCATGAATTTGAGGAATTATTTTCTAAAACTCCTGTAAAGGAGAGAAAGAAACCTGTTTCTGACACCATCTAACAGACAAAGGACAAACAAGTTGTCAAGTTATTAAGCAACAAAAGATCACAAGCAGTTGGAATATTAATATCTAGTCTTCGTTTAGATATGAAAGAAATACAACATGCTGTTGTGAACTTGGACAATTCTGTGGTTGACCTGGAGGCTCTTCAAGCTCTCTATGAAAATAGAGCACAGTCAGACAAACTGGAAAAAATTGAAAAGCATGGCCAATCCTCCAGAGACAAGGAAAGTGCCAAGTCTCTGGAAAAATCGGAACAGTTCCTTTATGAACTGTCACTAATCCTCAACTTTTCAGAGCGAGTTTTTTGCATCCTGTTCCAGTCCACATTTTCAGAAAGCATTTGCTCAATCCATCACAAACTGGAATTGCTACAGAAATTGTGTGAAACATTAAAAAATGGCCCAGGGATTAGGCAGGCTCTGGGTTTGGTTCTTGCATTTGGTAACTACAAGAATGGTGGAAATAAGACTCAGGGACAGGCGAATGGCTTTGGATTAGACATTCTCCCCAAGCTGAAGGGTGTCAAAAGCAGTGACTCTAGCAGAAGCCTTTTGTCATACATTGTTTCATATTATCTTCGAAATTTTGAAGAGGACGCTGGAAAAGAACAATGTGTCTTTCCACTGCCAGAACCACAGGAAGTTTTTCAGGCCTCACAGATGAACTTTGAAGATTTTCAAAAAGATCTCAGAAAACTCAAGAAAGACTTGAAAGCCTGTGAGACTGAAGCAGGGAAAGTGTACCAGGTCTCCTCCAAAGAGCACATGCAGCCTTTCAAAGAAAACATGGAGCAATTTATTATTCAAGCTAAAATTGACCAGGAAGCAAAGGAAAATTCACTGACAGAGACTCATAAATGCTTTCTGGAGACTACAGCCTATTTCTTCATGAAACCAAAAATTGGAGAGAAGGAGGTGTCCCCAAATGTTTTCTCCAGTATCTGGCATGAATTCAGCTCTGACTTTAAAGACTTTTGGAAGAAAGAGAATAAACTTATTCTACAAGACAGAGTAAAAGAAGCTGAAGAACTGTGTAGGCAGAAAAAAGGAAAATCACTTTATAAAATAAAACCAAGACATGACTTCGGAATTAAAGCAAAGACAAGCATGAAAATCCAAACAGGGGACAGAAGGATGAAAATGAGTCACTACAATAACTTCCACAAATTTCAGCTGATCTGAGGGTGGGAAGGAAACTACATCATTCTGATCATTTTTCTTCTTAGCCTCTTCCATAATCTGTGTTTTCTAGACAGTTCACCAATTGTTGAATTTCAGTGTCTATTGATCAGTGGAGACCAATGGAGAATTGCAAATCTTTTCTTCTTGAAATTGTTTATGGCATCACATTGACAGCCCCCAAACAACGTGTGCGAGCTACAGTGTCTGCACCCACTCTGGACATGCTCAGCCGTACCCTCTAGTGCCCTTCTGTGAGACTCTTCTTGTCATGGCAGAAACACTTTGCTTTCTACTGACAGCCAGAACTCCACGTCACTGCATTTACGTCAATGGAGAAATGTTATTTCTAGTGGATTGTTTGTATCTGTTTCATGTCTACTTATAAATTTCCTATTTTAAAAATCTAAGTACCATTCATATATCATAAACAATGCTTTCCCAACTCTTGGGTTGCTCTCCATAGCTATATATTTGTGAAAGACCATTATCATTTTTAAACTCAAGTCAGATACTGAATAGAAAAACACACAGCAAAAGAAAAGATTTCTGTAAGTTATTTAACATAGACAGAATCAGAATTTTAAGTTTAATGAGAGCCTATAAAAAGCTTATCTGCAGCAGAGGTAAATTAAATCAAAGGTGTGTCTCTCCTTAACTTTATACTTTACAAGGAAAATTTGACTCAGTAGTTTGAAGGAATTTAAATAAATGATGCTGATATAATTGCCAAACATGACTATCATAAAAAAAAAAAACAGAAAAGTAAAACTGGGGTATCAACTGGATCTATATAGAACCTATTAAGAAAACATAATTGCTTGTGTATTTTGACATGGTTGAGGTTATCATGATGAATTACAGCAGGTGATTAAAGCTAGAAAGTGAGAATATAATGATTCATTATCAAAGGAAGTCAGGAAAGGATTTTATTTTACTTTGAGGAAAAATACATAAATCTTCCACTCATTCCGAGAGTATTTTAAAATCAGCTCACGATACATTTTGATGTGCATATCTAACATTAATAGTTGTTTTTATTTTTATTGCTATTGATGATATTAGTTGAGAGTTATGGTTGTAGAAAAAGGGGAGAATCTATTGCTTGTACAAACCAATTATGGAAAGGAATTTTAAAATACTAAAACAATGTTCTAAATCACGGCTATGTTTGTATTTGTGTGAAGTATGATATCTTAGCTTTTGGTTCACAGTCTAAGTGCACAGAAACAGTAGTGGTTTTCTTCTGTTGTTCCGTAGTTTTCCTGTCCCCTCAGTTCCCTCAATGTGTATATTACCATTCCTCAATGAAGTAACAGGGCATTTAACAAAGATCGCTCTGTGCAATACTGTACGTAGTGTTTTTCCTTTTCCTTCTTTCCTTTCCCCTGCCCCTCCCAATACCCTTACCCCTTTGGGCCTTTTCTTCCTATTTTGCATTATCAATTACTCATTCTAATCATTGGTACATTTTAGGTATACAATATAATGGCATTCATCATTGGAAATTTGCACCTTTACATAGTCTCTCTTGGTTCTTATTTTTCACCCTTGCCCAGTCCTCCCTCCACCCCTCCATTCCTCCCTATTTACAAAGATTTTGTTCCTATTTTTCCATTTTCTCATATTAATTCCATTTCCTTCTTTCCTTTCCCCTACCCCTCCCACCTCCTTCCCCTTTGCCCCTTTTCTTCCTATTTCACATTACCTATCTGTATGTAGTATTTCTATTTCAATTTTTTTAGGATGTTAATTTATATGAAAATAAAATGAATAATAAAAATATAGGTAGTTATTCTTTTGAAAATTAAAATTGAGTAGAAATTCTCATTATTCTGATTTGATTATTACATATTGTATACATGTATTGAGTTATGATATTCTCTCTCAAAACAAACTACAAATATTATGCCTCAATAAAACATAATAATTTGAAATTTCCCAAGTTTGATTCATGGTAACAATAACAAAAAAAAGAATTTGAAATCATAAATCATAGAATTCAGTTGAATAGAAAAAATGTTGAGGAACTAAAACCACAAGGCCATGTTCTAAGTAATGACTTAACTATATATTCAAAGATTGTGAGTAGCTCCCCTTCTCTATGTAATGCAAATAAATATTTAAGATATACTTAATTGTTCACTTCAGCTTGACTTTTGTATCAATTATTTGCCCTTATCACACAGCTTCCATATAACATAAACATATATATACATACAGCTTGTTGAAATACATTTATGTGTTTCTTCTCATCATCATATCAGAGGGGAAAAACAGGATAGGCTTTATTCTGTGAAAAAATAAGAGGCATCCCAGAGAGAGGGTATAACATATGCAGGAATAGAGCACATGTGACCTTCCTATGTAATCATGGATAGTGAAATGTGGCTAGAGTATGTTAAAAGTTTTAGGAGCAGTATGTCAGCAAATAACAGCTATGTTAAGCAGAATTCAAATGTTTGCCCAAGGATTTTTTTTTTCAGACAAAAAAGAGAGTAAAAAGCAACTAAATGTTTTTTTAGTGTGTGGCAAGAAAAGGGTTTGGGAAGCATTTAGGGGAGACGTGTATGGGCCGTGCTTTAGGAAGGCGAACATTAGAATGCAGTGGAACAGTGAAGATATTGGAGATACTGGAGGTAGATGCTTAGGAGAACCTCTCAGTGACTTGGCAGCGTGAGAAAGTGACAGTTGCCAAGGGCTGCAATGGGAAGGATGATGCTGCTTAAAGGGGGAAAAGAGCGAGGACTGAGGGCCCTAGGGTTCCAACAAAATAAACATTGGGAAAGAGATAGAGCGACAGTACGAATGACAGAATGGAGGTCATTAGAGGGAACAGAAAGGACAAAATGAACTTAACAGGTTCTGGAAAGGAAAACCAAAACTAGCCAAGATTTGCTGAATTGCTGTTGGCGAAAGCCTTAAAAAAAAAAAAAAAAAAAAAAGATAGCAAGTGTTTTCAATGAGAGAATGAGGACCTTACGGAAGCATAAGCTTGGAGAGGAAGCCAAAGAGGTGGAAAATCTGAGGCTAGAGCTGGATGCTGACAGATCAAGTAACGAACATTACACGCAAAATGACCTTGATTTCCAGCAATACAAAAAACAGGAATTGGAGACTGACTGGAACCAGAGGAAATGGAAAAGGCACATGCCAACAGCTCCCTTGAGCAGCTTAGGGAAAGTAGAGAAATACAGTGGTAATTGAAAAGGAATGTGAAGGCCATGGAGAATTTTATATCATATCAGTACACACTTGAGTCTCTAGGGCTCAAGCTGAGAGCAGGAAACAGATGAAAACTAGAGAAGACTGCTTGTGAATGGAATCCATGGCACAGCATCAAGTGCTCCTGGGAAGGACTGGCCTTCTATAGGAGAGAGGGGATTTTCTGAATTATAATATCAGAGGTAGAAGGAGAGAAAAGGAACCAGTCGATGTCGACAAGGGAAATGCCATCTGTAAGCTTTTGTTTTCTCAATGAAGGAAATTACACTTCAGCTTTGGTTAGTAGTGGGGAGAAGTATTGTAGGTTTGGAGAAATAGGAACGAGTTGCATACTAAGAACTGTAGGCCAGCAGGAATGAGATCCCAGCAGAGGCTAGGGAATACTAAGAGTAACACTAACAGGACTGGAGGATTTTATTAGGCAACCATCTGCTGCTTGGATACAGAAGATGAGAATGTGTATTTTTTAGTTCATTTGAGGTTAGAGATTAACGTGCATGTGGGGAGAAAAAACAGAGGGAGACAACAGAGGTGATGATTTTTACAAGACAGTGATCATAATATCAGGATACAGAATGAAACCTAGGCAAAGACTAATAACAAGAAGAGGGCTAACAGACATAAATTTGCAGAGTTAATGGATAAGAATTTGTAATGAAGTTGAAAAGCTATTGCTTAAATAGCATTTGAGAGGTTAACTGAAATCATAGGAAGGGAAGATTGTGAGTACTGAATTCAAGATTTCAGCCATGGTCTATTTCTATTGATGACACCGCGCAAGACATGACTCTGAGAGGTGGATGGATATAGTACAGGTGCAAATACATCACTGAAAATAAGGTAGTCTAGGAATAGAGAGGTTAACACATGGAAGTCTTGTGTGGATTTTGAAGTCATCTGAGATGCTGGCAAGAGATTGGATTGAAAAAGAAAGAACTAAATGTTCAAATGAATAAGGGCTGTGAACAAGAGTTGATTGTTATAAGAGATAGGAAATGTGCCAATGAATGTGAGCCTCAAAGAAGCAGAGTCATTTTTAATTTATTTTTTCAAAAGAAAAGGCATACATAATGTCTGGAAATTACTCTAGTGGGGAATTGGAATTGGAATTGGAGTTGGGGTGAGAGTGGTGAGTACAGAGGTAGCATCTAAGGCAGCCAGAATATGAGAAAAGAAAATCTGCTGTACTGAGGTGGCTTTATAGGAACGTCAGAGAATAGCTGATTTGAAGGCAAGAAGGTGCTAAGAAGGTGCAGAGAAGATGAAAATGCTGATGTTTGTATGAATATAGGAACATTTCATGGTCAAAGAGTGAAAGTTATTTGTTCAAGACTAGACAGCTAGTAAATGGGTTTTCCAGAATTCAAACCAAGTATGTCTCCCTCCAAAGCTGGGTCATGATACTTGTTAGAGAGAAAATTCAGCCAAATTAGTAAATTGTATGTTGAATGGGAGAAAATGCACTCTCAAAATTGTTTCATTCATCTATTTTATTCTTGACAATTTCAAGGACATTAGGACTATTATAGTGGCATTATATCAGAAAATTTAACAGGAAAGAGAATGGCTATGCACTTCCAAAAAATGCAGCTTTTAGGAGACCCACTTAAATTCAGAAACTCAATGTGAATAAGAACTCAGGTGCATCTTTGTGGCTGGCAGGAATGTTATATCAATTGAGACTGAAATGTTATTTTACAGCTTATGAGGCTCTTTTTATAAACTGTTGTTGCACTTGAATGCCTCCTACAAGATGCTCTTTAGAATGAAAATGACAA